TGCTTTATTATAGCAATATTTGTAATTAAAAAAATTTCGGTCTATATAAGACAGGCTATTTTTGAAGTAAACTATGAATTAATTTTAATATAGATTTACGGACCTATTCTCTGCGCTTTATAAACTTGTCAAACATTGACACTTGTCAAAATTGACTGCTGTAAAGATTTTGGTATTCTGTGACAGAAATAAAAAGCTCTCTTCGTTGTTAGTTGTCAATACTACAAATGCTGTTGACAACTATAAAAATATGCTATTTTTAAGCATTTTTTATTTTTTGCATGCATGACAAATATTCTTAACTAAAATATACGCTCCTTACAAGCATATTTTTTTATTGTTATTTGAATGCATGAAAAATGCTTTTGACAACTTAAAATATGTGCTCTTTACAAGCATTTTTTACGAACAGTTAAATTTTAACTCTGTGTAGCAAAACTATTATAATTACTTATTATTATTAATTTAACTACAAAAAAGCCAGTTATTTAATAAAAAAGAAATTGTGGAAACTTCTTCGCTTGCTGGAACGAAAGTTAGTGTCTGTGATCACTTAGCCGATCCATTGCTTTTTTTTTACAAGTGTTCCATTCAAATACAATTTATTTATTTATAGTTATCCAGCATATCTTTCTGACGAAATATGTATTGAATTTTTTTTAAGAGAGTTCAATTCTGAATTAGTGTTGAGCATCCATAGAATCAAACAATAATAATAATAATAAGATTAATAAAAAAAAAATATATTGTTGAAATTTTTATGAATGTATATCAAACGACATCATTAAGAATTTAACTGCATTATATTCAGTACGTGATGCTTTAAAAAACAAAATTGTAACATCATTTAAGAACAGAAATTACTATATACCCAAATACAGGGTTGTTAAGTAAAACTTTGAAAACCAAAAAGCTCTTACCTTGAATTAGACTTAATATCGTAAAATGAATTTGTTCTAGATACTTGACTTTCCACCACATTTTCGAAATAATTATTATATTGTTCTTTTTTTAAAAATATTTTAGATTTATTTATTATAAATATTTATTTTTCATTTTAGATTTCCAAAGATTTACATTTCGAACTTAATAAACTTTGATGGAAATCATCCTTTTGAATCAAAGCATCACTTCTTGATTTTGATGAAAGTTTAAAAAAAAACATTCAATAAAACCAGAGAATTAACTTCTAAAACAAATAAATTTGATAGAAACTACACTATAGAAATAAGGAATAAGCAAATTACTTTTGAAAGTTAATGAATTTTTAATAGAAAACATCCTATCGAAACAAAGAATCACTTTTTTATAATTAACAAAATTTGAAAAAAAACATCCTGTTAAACCTAGTAATCACGATGTTAATTTAATTAACGTTATTAGAATAGATCATGTGGAATCTAATATTACTTTGCGAAGTGAATGATCTTTTTTCAAAAACTTACTGTTGATCTAAAGATTTTTCCACCGAAATTTAAAAAAAATTAATTCAAAACATGCAGTTAAACCAAAGAATTACATCCTCAAATTAATAATAATTAATAGAAAACAATGCATTGAACTAAACTATCACTACTCGGTTTTAATGAACGTTGATAGAAGGCTTGAACCAAAGAAATACCTCCAGAAATTAATGAATTATACTATGTTCAGACAGCAAAATTTCCTTAATTTCGTAAAAATGAAATTAAGTTAATTTCGAAAGTGTTCACACAGCCCCTAATTAAGGAAATCATATGTTATGTGATTTATTTACAAATCGTATGTTAAAAATTATATGCTCAAAATACAATTTGTAACTAGAAAATTTTAAAAGTTAATTATTATTATTATAAAGGATGACATTCGGCATTTTTATTACCTTTAGTGGTTTGCTGACTATTTTGATTTATTTATTATTTATGATTTATTATTTTTCAGTATATATTAAATTCATAACAGTTACAGTTCTTTCCCTATGTTAAAATTTAAAATTTTGCACTACTTTTAAAATATTTTCCGGTTTTATTAAAGTCATTGACATTTATTTCAAAAAAATGTCATTTTTTCGTTATCTCAACTTTAACTTTTGTTTAAAATTTATCTTACTCATAGTTGTATTTGATATGTGCCTTAATTTCAGCCTTCGTTTCAACGAAATTAAGGTCATTTTCCTTAATTTCGTTTTAACCTCAAAACCGAATTTTGTATGGGAGAAAGTATTTAATTTCGCTAAAACGAAGATGAAATTAAGATTTTTGCGAAATGAAGGTGTGTCTGAACATAGTATTAGTGAAAAATTAACCTATAGAACCCAAGCATTACTTTCCGAATTTAATTAACTTTGATAGAAATTCTTTGTTGTACCTAACCATTATTCCGAAAGATTATGAACCTTGATATGTAACATTCTAATGAAACAAAAAATTACTACCCGAAGTTAATGAGCTGGAACTTTTATTAGAAACACCCTGTTTCTATGCAAACATGGTATAGGGTATAAAATTCTCTTATAAAACAATAAAAAAAGGATGTTAAATATTTTTATGATTTAAACAAGTGTTGAGTTAAATATTCATAAAGTCAGGTAACAGACCTAAGAATGCCATCTCAAAATCATAAATGAAGAATGAAAATAAACACGTAGAATGCTGAATATTTTATAATAAAAAAAAAAATAATATTTTTAAACATTTTTATAAATTTAAAATATTGTGTATGAAAATAAATAACTAAAAAATCCAATTCTCTGGAAGAAGCTAGAAAATGCAAAATAAAATATGAAAAACTTCTCGAAATTTCAAAACCGCTGCAGGATAATCAAAATAAAATGTGAAAATGTGAAAATGGAAAATGGAAAACGCGCATAAAGTTGCGTGGAAACACACTAAATAATTTTGCTAGAGCACAAGATTTTGAAATAAATCCTTGTTGCTCGGCTTGGTTGTTCACGAAAACAACAACAACAGAAGTGTGCACGTGTACGCCTAATACAAAGGAAAATGGATTTTCTGTAGCGCCGCCATCTTAGAATCTAAGCGTGAAATTTACATGTTTCCGCTCGGTATTTGCGATATTTGCGTGTGTCACATGAAATGTTGCGGCTCTAGTAGTGTGTGGAGCAGTTTGCGGTTTTTGTCTAGTGTTTTCATGCTCTTGATGAAGTGCTCTTTAATATATCTTTACGCAACTAACATTGGCAAAGAGATTGTGGTGCACCATTGAAGCGGTGCTTGCGTACATACGCATCTATTCATATAGATGGCCCTAACCATCTAAAGGCTTAGAAACTTACAACATATTTATCTTTATATTTATATGCGAGTACTTACATAATACGTGTCGCATCCCGTTGCCTCACATTTTCGTCTCGATTCAATACTTCGATTATCATTTTGCGTTCATTTTCTGAGAGGCTTTCTAGTACTTGTGATGTGGCGACTGCCAATTCAGGACCCAGTGCTTCTAAGGTCTCACCGGGTATACCCTCTGTAGCGGCATCTGTCGTATTAATATTTCCAGTTGTGTTTGTTGTTGTAGTTGTCATATTTGTAATATTGTTACCTGTGCCGTGATGCATTGGCATATTGACTGTACCTAACATCGTTGACGTTGCTGACGTCATCATATTGCTATACTGCAGCACATTGTTGCTGTTCTGCTCGGAGGCACTTGCAACTCGGTGCTTATTGGTAGAAGCGATGGGCGTGGGTGGCAAACGAGCACTACGTCCACTTGACATAATAGGTCGTTCGTGTTGCACTTAACTTAAGCGCTGGTTTTTGCTATTGTTTAAATATTTAACCTTTGTTTTAGTTATTAATGTTGTTGCTTTTGTTGTTGTTATTGTTGTTGTAATTGTTGCTATTTCTGTTAATGCTTGAATTGAATTGCTTTTCGTTTCCAATTTGCGGTAGTTTATTGTTTCATCAAAGTACAATCACAGTTAAAGTGTATATCATTTTGCAATCTGAACTGAAATTAAATATATAAAGAAAATTATTTATTTTTAAATATTAATTATAGTGAAATATTAAGATAAAAATAGATTATTTAATAAATTATTAATTTAATAATATAACGGATAAATTCTGTTGAAAAAATTTGTATGAAGGATGTAGTTTGAATGGATTTTATGGTTTTGTCATATATATTTAATGTTAATCATACTTAGTATTTCTCTTTAAATAAATAATTTTATAGAAATTACAATTAATTATATGTCATGTGAATAAATAAATTTAAATTGAACATTTTTTATTAATTATATAACCCCTCACAAGTGTTTCAAATGAACTTTGTAGTATTGAATGAGGCGTAAAGCAATAATCAAATCAATAATGAGGTTTTTTCAAACAGTAGTGAACTACAACAACAAAAACTCATTTTTATATTATTTTAATTAATTAAGTTTTTAGCTGACCATACAGCTGTTTCGAGTATTGCCAAATACCCATCATCAGTGGTCTTGGAAATAATTATTGTATTTAATTATTCGTAAATAATTATTTTTTAGACTGTACTTTCAAAATATAATAAACATTATATCTATGTTAATATATAAAATTATACTGATATATAGTTAAAATTTCTCGTCTGTCTTCTATTAACAATAATAGACCAGTTAGTATAAAAATCACATGAAATTTGATTATTAGTATTTAAAACACTTTTTATTATTTTAACACATTTTATAACGTTTATGAAACTAGTTTTAAGTCTATCACCTATAATTCATAATAACAATAATAGTTAAATGTGGTTATTTTTGTTTTTTAAAATATACTAACTTTTATTTCGAAAGTTTTTTTGTGTATCTCTACACGTGTTTCGGCAAATTCGCTTTTGCCTTCATCAGGAGAATTCCTAATATTAAAACATCTAGCAATCTTACAAACTATTTATACTATAAACATGTTATTTTTTAATACTAAACTTAATATTAATAAATCCTAAGGTTATTGTCCTTGGCGGTGACAGGTAAGAGATGGTGGCGGGGTTGGTCTGGTGTTGTTTTTATTTTACATACAGGTAGTTAGGTCGACTGGTTGTCGGTTTTTTGGGATGTATCTAAAAAGGCACCATGACACGTTGCCTTTGTCGCCGTTGAGTAAAGTTGTGGTCTGATATTTATGAATTTCGATGCTTTCTGCCGTTTCTAATTTCCAGCTATCTCTTACATTTTTGATTATTTGGGCGTTTTCCTTGTTGATGTGGTGATTTTCCTTTACTATATGTCTGGCGACATTTGATTTTATGTGGGGGTTCATTTTCTTCGGTGCTTCTCTTGCTTCCTTCAGGTGTTCTTCAAGTCTTACTGATAAGGGTCTTTTGGTTTGTCCGATGTATACTTTGTTGCAGGAGCCACACTCTATTTTGTATACTCCGCATTTTTCGAATGGGTCAATTGGGTCTTTTGCGGATGGTAAACGGCATTCAAGTTGGTGTGGTCTACTAGAGTGAACTAAGTCGATATTGAACTTTTTTAACTTAGATTTTAGACCTTTCGAGACAGTGTTATTGTATACTACAGCGACTCTTCTTTGTTTTGGTTTTTCTGCTGTCAATGTCGTCATGTTCCTGGAATGTAGTTGCCTTCGTTTCTTTTTTATGATTCTATCGATGGTGTTTTGAGGGTATCCGTTGATGTCCGCTACTTCTTTAATGTATGTGGTTTCTTCATTGATGGCTGCTTGTGTAAGGGGTAGCGTGAGCATTCTATGTATCATGTGATGAAAAGCAGCCATTTTGTGTTGGAATGAATGGTTTGAATTATTGGTTATGACACGTTTTGTGCTCGTTGGTTTCCTGTAGATACTAAATTCGAAAATGCCGTTTTTGTGTTGTGTAAGTATGTCTAAGAATGGTAGGTAGCCGTTGTTTTCTCGTTCGTGTGTGAATTCAATGTTCCTGTGTGCACTGTTGAGATTTTCTAAAGTTTCTTGTAGCTTGTTTTTCCTTATGATTGCGAATACATCATCTACATATCTGATCCATACTCTTGGTAGGTAATTTTTTTCTTTTAAGCTGGACTCTATTCTGCTCATAAACAGTTCGCTTAAGAGGGATGATAAGGGGTTACCCATAGGGGCGCCTTTTGTTTGTTTAAAGAATCTGCCTCTGAAGGTGAAGTAATTTTCTTCCATGCAGAGTTGTGTTAGCTGGATGTAATTCATTATTTTAATTTTGTTGACTTTATTTTTGAGGAGCTCTTCCTCAAGGATCCTTATAGCTTCTTTTACGTTAACACTTGGGTATAACGCTTTTACGTCGAATGATACGGTTTCTTCATCTCCCGTGATGTTCTCCAATTTTAGTTTTTCTGCGAATTCTTTGGAGTTCTTTACAGAAAGACTGTGAGAGCTGCCTAGGATGCAGGTTAGTTCCTTTACCAACCATTTGGCGATGCGTTGGCATGGGGATCTGTCTGCTGTTATAATCTCTCTCATTTCTTTTCCAGGTTTGTGAATCTTTGGTAAGGCTTTGAATCGTGGAAGTGAGGGTGCGGGTTCCTTCATTTGTTTCTTATCGAAATCTAAAAATTTCGAGCATTTTTCGACGAGTTTGTTGGTTCTGTTGACCATTTCTGGTAGGGGGTTGATTCTGAATTCTCTGTAGGGGCCATTATCAATTTTTTCTTGGACTCTCTGATCGTATTCGTCTTTGTCCATTATTCTATTTTATTTAATAATAGTGTAATATGATATAATGCATTTTAAGAATGAAAGTAGAACTTTAATAATATTTTTATTTTCCATCCGAGTCTGCTGTTTCATATTGCTTGAACTTCCATTATGTATATTGCTTCGCTTATAATTATTTTGAAAAAATCCCAGCCATCACCTAATTAAACAATCAAGTAGAGCATTTTCTTTACTTTCTCCTTTCGCTTACTCTGCCCTCTACACTGATTTATTTCGAGGTGGCTGGTCGTTCGATATATTAGACAGATTTTGACTAGAGTGAGATATTAACCCAATCTGCGAGATTGGCTTAATAATAACATACCAATAATTCAAATTTGTCGATATTTTGTTTGACTCATTTTTAAATAGTCCAAACTTTGGTCAAATTGTGAAACTTAGATCTTCTAAGTGAAACTTGAAAAGACTAAGGCTATTGGAAAATCGAAAAATAGCAGATGAAGATTTCAAACCATATTTGGATCAATGAGAGGTGGATAGAGATCCAGTATATGTATTCGGATAATCATCGTATAAGAAATACAGAAAGAGGAAATAAATGGATGCTTCATTTAACATGTGAAAGATATTATATATCACACTGTCCATTATCTCTATCTTTAAAATTTTGTAGTTACCAGCAGTAGTCGAAGTACTGTTAAGAAACTTATGAACGATCTAAATTCTGGTACATTTTGACTAAGAAACCTGTATGTCTTTCAATTTTTGAAAATAGTTAATTAGAAATTAAGAGTAATATAATTTTTTGTTTAAAATATAGTTTTACCCTGCGATAGCATGGATAAAAGTTAGAAAGTTTAAAAGTTAATAGGGTTTGTATAGAAATAAAAAGACAACAACAAAAATTTTTAGGTAATTGATTGAAATTCGACTGACCATACAACGCTGTTTAGAGTATTACCAAGCATTCATCTTCCGCGGTCTTAGGGAATATTCGAATTTTTACATTATTTTGATCATGGCCAAAAAGGGTTTGAAATTGCCGTGACCATTCGTCATATGACTAACTGTATAATATCGTCCATGTTTATATTCTTTCTGTCTAATATATCTCTTAATAATTCATTTTAAAGTAAGTAGCTTTATATCCGTTTACAATTTCTATGCAAGTATAATTTTTCCACACAATTTTGGGCAACAGAATAGAAATATAAAAACAATTAGAAGTCACACACATGGTAAATAACAATAAAATCAAAGGAAGTAAAGAATTTAATTCTTAATTAAATTTTTTATATTTCGAATATATTTATCCTTAATTTTTAACTCACAGTAATAAAAACCAAAAAAAAAATTACATATCTTTACATCACTTCATTTGTATATTTGCATATTTTTCTATTCTATTCTACGAACAAAATGGCTGAAATAGACAATTGACTCCAAAAAGAGTGAACAACACCAATGTGTGTTCTTTATTAAATAGCAAATCCCTTTTTATGTAAAAATCAGCCAAAATTAAACTTTGAAATACTGCAACAATTGGAACTTGGAAAGTATAAGTTGCTGATAAATGATTACATATCTTTTTTTCTATTATGTGCTTTTTTTTCTATTGACATATACCCTTCAGCAAACAATCCTTCATTATCAATTTCTCTGGAATTATTTGATGAAAGTTTATTGATTAGAAATTCGATTTGCAGTTACGTTTTTATTGCACAAACTTGTGCCCGTAATAATACGGAAAAGTTAAAGTATTTCAAGCAAATATTTTTATATATTGATGGCACATACATACACGTACTATATATATATATATTTTCTACACTTCATAGTACATAAATGCTCAGATTATTTCCATTTATATTTGTTTACCTTTGTAGAGTGAGAAGAAATTTTTATTCTAGGAAGAGAAAGAATTTTTCCTCTTTTAATTTGAAATTTTAAAGTTATTAAAAAAAAAGAGTAAGGTAATTTAAAGAAATAAAATGAAATAGTAAAATACAATGGAATTAGTATTTAAATCTTTTCTCATTATTATATGTTTTTATTCTAAAAGGGAAGCATTAAAGTTTTGTTAGTTTCTTCAGCAGCTTGAGATCTTATAGTATTGCGATTGCAGCAAAGTAGTTTCTAATACTATCTACTGAGATCTCAATATATTCATAAGAATAATGTATTCGTATGAACACTATCTGAAATCATTATTCTACAATATGTTTAGAGTTTCACTTTGGTTAGTTTGAATTAGTTTGAGAGGACTAACTCAGCGCTACCTCTCAGAGACATCTATTGCTCATTGTGGTTCCCTCAAAGTTGCCAGGGAGAGGTAAGTTACACTAACATTTGTTATATCTTGATATTGGTCCTTATAAAATCATTTGGTTTTCAACTTTCATTATACTTCCGTTATCTCTATCAGACCACTGAAAAATCGGTCACTAAAATAGCTTCGTCTATATACTCGGACAAGAATATAGAAAGTGATTATTAAATTGTATTTCATCTATATCATTGCAGCTGATTCACATCCCACTTGTTGGAGTTCGCCACCGTTGAAACATCGGCACAATAGCACAATGGAATACCAATAATGCCCTATTAGTATACCAGCAACTACATGAACCTGCAAGTTATGTAAAAACGAAAAGGTGTTTCGTTCTAATCCAGTATAATCTAGGACATACTGTTCTGGCGCCCACAAGTTATTTGCTAAAGTGATGGTGAATTCATCCATACTCCTAATAAGTTTACAAATCATAGTTAATATAAATATATATGGTAAATGAATCGGCCATATTTATCTAAATTTCAGAACCTCTTCTGGTCATCGTATTTAATATTTCGTTAGCTTAAATATATCATGTCCAGGAATACAGCAGAGCAGAATATAGCAGTCATACCATGTACTGTGTGACATTTCATTACATGTGTACAGAACTATCTCTAAAGATAGTGTTATTCAAAGGACGAATTTTATATCCATATAAACAGACGAAGTTTATATTTGACTAACTGATTTTTCGATTACGTTTATTTCAGTTTATAGGCTTTCAGCTATTTCAGCCTGATAGATGCTGCAAATGTCAGCGAGTTGGTGTGACTGCCGTATTTGCATGTCTCTGAAGTGAATACTCGCTTCCGTATCACTCTCTATATTTAAGCTCTTTGTCTAGTTGGTAACAGCACAGAGAGATCTTCCTGTTAGTTTTCTTTTGTAGGATAAAGAGTACCAACATAAGTTTCGAGATCCAGTATCGGTTTCATGTAGCAACACCCCTCCGTTTTTGCATCAACATCAATGCAAAGTTTTTATTTTCTTTTTGCGACTCCATTTAATTTAATCTTTGGTTTAATATATGTATTTAAGTCCTTTATTCTAGGATGATCGATTTCATTTTGTCTAATTGTATTTATATCTTAGGATATACATACATCTGAGTTCTTCTTAAAACACCCTGCTTTTTTATATTAGTATTTGTCTCAGTAACAAAAATTATCTCATTCTAAGTTATATTCTTTGGGTATAAAGTTTACATATGAAACTTTGGTGGTCTGAAATTTTACCTAATTTTAATGAGTGGCATTTGTAATAAATACGTATTGTATTATTTTTTTTTTTTTGATTCACCGGTTTTCTGTAATAAATGAAAAACCATTGACTTATTTATAACCACGTAGACAAATTATTAAATACACGTACGTGACTAATCTATACTCAGATACTTCGAAGACTCACTGACTTGAGAAAGGAAGCATGTAGATATTTTTGTCTGGTTCGTTAAATCTAAATTAATTTGTGAAAGATGTATATACAAGATGTATACTTCATGTTCAAGTTTACTTTTTCTATATATATTTTAATTTCAACATCTTCTAATAAGGAATATTGGCAATCTATCAGGTAGAAATAAATTAAAAAGTCATACGAGTGGAAAAATATTAATATCCCCTGAATTAGTTAAAGTTTTATTAAGTTTTATTGAGCAAAACTTTAAATAAAAATGCTATTTTTATAATTTTCATTCGAATCATAAATATACTTAATTAAAAATGAGCGAAATTTTTAATGGTAAAAAAAGATTTTATAATTGCATTTAAAATATTGCTCAACTTAATGATAGGTTCAAATCAAATATACATGAATAAACATAAATTGAAATTATTAATAATAAAACGTATTATTAAATATTTTTAATTGAACTTTTTAAATAATTAACACAGGTTTTGCAATATTTTATTTATACTCGCAGTGTGTGCTTTTACACTTTTGCACTTTTATTTTATTAATATTAAATTCATAAACACTTTTCATACAACAGTTGAACTACATCAAAATAAAAAAATCGAGAAAATAAATATCATAATAATACATAGTTTTAAATTTAAATATATATATATATATATTCAGCAAAATTTATTGTTAAAGGATATATGTACTAAAAACAAAAGCAGCTTACTGTAAACTAATTGAATATGATGAATATATGATGTTATATGAATATATTAACACCTTCACTTTTAAGTTGTGAATTTATATGAAACCTTTAACTAAATGTTATTAATTAAAGTATAAATAAGGGCACATTTTTACATACACCCTATATGCTATACAGTGATTTTTAAAATAACATCACTCGCTTAACATCTTTGAGATAATAGTTATGAGGTAATGTTATTAATTAAAGAATAAATAAAGATACATTTTTACATATGCCCTATATACTATAAAGCGGTTATTTACTTAAGATCAATTTCATAACATCTCTGAGATAATAGTCACCTGATTTTATAAACATTCTATAAATTTCATATATGCGCCTAGACTATCAATAATTTATTTTTTTTTATATTAACACCTTTACTTTAAGGTTTTGAATTTATATGAAACCTTTAACTAAATGTTTTTAATTAAAAAATAAATAAGGGCACATTTTTATAAACACCCTATATGCTATACAGTGATTTTTAAAATCACATCACTTTCGTAACATCTCTGAGATAATAGTTATGGGATAATGTTA